CGCCCACTTCTTTTTTTTTTTGGTCAGTGGCGCTCACTACAATGACGTAATTATCTTCTTGACCACTTGAGTGTCACGTGAAGAATTCATCACTTTAGTGTCATTGGCGATTTGTGTAGCCAGAAAATTTGACGTGACATATTTTTAATATAAACCTTCCGACGTGACTCATCGATAAAATTAAGTCGCTAATATTGCTGCTGAACAATATCATCTGTGTGTGTTATTTGCCCGCCAATTAGCGACTTGGGGCTAAATTTGTTTTCTCCTTCAAACCCTGAAGTTGTTGGGTTTTTCAATGGAGGAAATGGAGCAAAATTAGGTGCTGAAATTTGCAAAGGAGAGCAGGAGCAGGATGAACATCGCCAAATTAAGCATGTTCCAATCAAGAATCGGATGAACAAGAGCTATGGAGTAGAGGGAGCCACATAGTTAGCAAAACGAATCGGTTGGTGCAATCGGGCCTCTTTGGAGTTGAATAGTTGTCATGGACTATGTCCCCGGCCCTCCGGGAGAATTTTCCTTCAGTGATATTTATCTTTAACACTCTTTTGAAAAAATTTCTTTTCCCTTTTAGTTCAAGGGGCATGTAATTACTTCTAATATTACAAAAAATCTCTTGCTCTCATGATGATCAAGAATACTAGAATAAAAATTTCCTGCGATCTATTTCACAAGTATTTTTCCTGTGCAAATCACGAGTCTATAGGCCAGTACAATGGTAATGTAATTGAAGCGGCAATATAGCTACTACGACCTTTTCTTTCTTGTTTTCCCCTTGCTTCTGGATATAAGATAAAATGTTGCGGCCAAAAGAGACTAATACAATTTAAACGATAAGCGATCCTCCCATCTGTAGCACGGGCTAACTAAAGTGCCGGTGTATATATAAGAACAAAAATCAGCTCATATCTTTGCACTCCATTCACCGGATGATGCCTAGAAGGCAACGACTAAGCACGTGCAGAGGAAGACAACTAGAAGCGATAAGGAATGACCGGCTTGGAGCCGGTGAATGGAATGATCATTCACCGGATAAATGCCAAGAAGCAAACGACTTCGCACTTTGCTAAGTCCAAGTCAATTAACCACTTTATTTATCTAATGACATCAATTATATCGATTCGGGGTAATTGCATCAGGATTTGGTTAGTGACCATATTAGTTAGAAAGTTCAACCTAAAAACTTAAATTATTAAATAGAATAAGATCACATGAATATAAAAAGCATTAACACCTGTTATCAAGCAACGTGGAATAATACTTTGTCAGCCCACTCATGGGACGGTTTGGGGGAAAATTAAGAATTGATGTTATCGCCCTTTATCCTTTGGAAAATGATAAGCTGACGGTGCAGTCTGCACCACATATTTTCCTATGGAAACCGGACGACTTGCTTGTTCGGTCTCCTGGGGATATCAAAATGGATCCCCCATCCGGTGAAAAAGGTATTGGGTTCTTGAGGCCCCACGTCTGACTTCATCTCTTACTCTGCACTGCACTGCCGTGCCCTGCTCCCGCTACTCTCTCTCTCTCTCTCTCTCTCTCTCTTCTCTCGATGAAATGATTAATTTAAAAAAAAAACATTAATTTTAGGTCGAAGGACAATTTTAGTCCAAACTTTTTTTTCTTCCGTAAAAAAACATCAATTTTAGGTCGAGGGACAATTCTGATCCGAACTTTTTTTTGTTCCGTAAAAAAATACCAACTTTAGGTTAAGTGACATTTCTGGCTCTAACTTTTTTTTGTCTTTTAAAAAAGCATCAACTTTCACTTAAATCCCAAATCTGTCCCCTATTGACTTAAAACCATTGATTATCCAACTTGACTATTCTACCTTAACAATAAATCCACGTGACTTACTGATTGGATTTAAAGCATTATTCATTGTCTTATTCTCTGAGCCACAGCTTGAAGAATAACGGTGAAACTGTTCATCTTCTTCACTTCACCGGCAAGTCAAAAATATCTCTAGATTGAATCTCTCTGGCCAGACTTCGTCGTTTTGTAGTAATCTAAAGCTATAGACCATCGCTTGTCGACAAACGCCATGAATGAGATTCGCTAGGCTCACCACCATAACTTTTTTTCTCAAACAAGGGTGACTTTAGACAAAAAGTCAACGGGAGGCCAGATTTGGGATCATGGTGAAAGTTTGTGATTTTTTATGAGACATAAAAAAGTTAGGCCCAAAATTGTCACTCGACCTAAAGTTGGTGCTTTTTTACAGTACAAAAAAAAACTCGGGCCAGAATTGTCCCTCAATCTAAAGTTGGTGTTTTTTTATGAGACAAAAAAAAGTTCGGATTATAATTATCCTTCGACCTAAAGTTGGTATTTTTTTTTAAATTAACCCCTCAATGGAAATGAAAGAAACAGATGAATGAAAAACTGAAAATATAAAGCAGAGATTTCAAGTCAGTCACAACTTCAGAGTGCCAAATGAAACTATTTTTCTCACCTCACGGCTTCTTTCATTCTTGATTATCCCACCTCAAAAATCGTACTCAAATAGACTTCGCATGATCTCAGAATTTACAGAGAAAGAAAAATCATAGGTATTTCACCTGGCTTGAACAGAGAGAGCCTCACTCAGAAAAAAGAAGAGTAAAAATTAAGGCAAAAACGAACGCTGGCCAATCATTTCCTCAAGCCGAGACCGAGTAATCGAGGATCCAGGCGACGCCGTGCACGGCGTGGGCGTCAGAGAAGAGGAGGTCGGGCTGGAGGAGAGGGCAGCCGTCGAGGTTGAAGAGCTTGAGTTGTGGGCAAAGCGGGTCGGCGGAGATGGAGGAGCGTCGAGGGGTTGATGGAAGAGGGGACGGAGACCCAGTCGGCAAAAGTCGCGGACTTTGCTGACTTGCTGGAGATAGATCAAGGAGGAGCGGAGCGGCGCGGCGCGGTGCGGTGCGAGAGATGGAATCAAGGGTGGGTCAATCATGTACACGTGTCAACTGATAAGTGGGCTCAAGTAGATTCGGCACGATTCTCAGGTACATAATATTTTCTCTTCACTCGGTTGCCCATCCGGTTGCACATCCTCTGCAAAATAAAACACCCTGTCCACCTTGCACCGTTGCCACTTGCTCGTGACGGTGGTGCCGTTATGCTAGCCGCATCCTTATCCTTTTGATTTCTCTCGCGTTTTAATTCACTTAACAATTTAGATTCTTAATCAGATCATGAACAAAAGTGGAAGCGGACACAGAGCGCGAGTTTTAATTCTGAGTTCATGCTATAAGGCGCATTTAATAAATTCTAGATGAACATCCTTGGAAGTGGGGGAGAGTTATATCATAAATTCCATGTTAAATAGAGAATTCGAACATGTCTATTTGGAATGATTTCAGATTGCTGATTATGCATGACACGTGAACAGTTGATGGAAAAACGTAGATTTTCCTCGATCGATTGCTCAGCAAGTACCCATGACAAAATCGCGAGAGTCACTTTATATAAAGTGTAATGCCCAATTCATGACTTTATTCATAATTTTCTATACATGTTCAATCTAATCTCTTATAACTTTATTCGTAGGAACAATGGGTAGGCTGTCAAGGCAAATGGGAGTGAGGACCACAAGAAGGCAACGACTGAGTTGTTAATGGAAAAAGGTTAGCGATGTTAATGAGCATAACAAAATACAAATTTGGGTTAGACAGATATGGAATGCGACTTTTTGAAGTTTGAGATTTGACATGCACCAACTTCAAAGTTATGAAGGGTAGAATGAAACATTCCCTAAAATGTTAGAATGGGATCTCACGTTCTTCTTCCAAATGCATGGAGCCTAAGAGTGTCATTATAATGTATATAATTTGAAGTGATTTTTCTCATTATTAAACGATGTCACTTTTTTCTTCCGTACCTAGTTGGACAAAACTACCTCCAACTATATCTTTGATTGGTGTTCAACTTATAGAAATACCTTCGACCAAAAAAAAAACTTATAAAAATACCAATATGGGCAAAAGGAGACTATAAGTGCCATAACTTGTGTACGGAGATCACTTTGATGCCACAACTTTTTTTCGGATCACTTTGGTGCCAAGTCGGAGGAAAAACGATCACTTAAGTGTCATAAGTTTTTTTTGGATCACTTCAATGTTAAAATTTTTGAAAAACGATCACTTAAGTGCTAAAATTTTTTAAAAACGATCATTTAAGTGCTAAAATTTTTGAAAAACGATCACTTAAGTGCCAATCTCCGGCGAGCCACGTCAGCTTCAGAAATTAATAAAAAAAATGCCACGTCGGATTTCTGGCGAAAAATTGTGTACGGCACCGGAGTTGGCACTTAAGTGATCGTTTTTCAAAAAATTTAACACTTAAGTGATCGTTTTTCAAAAATTTTAGCACTAAAGTGATCCAAAAAAAACTTATAGCACCAAAGTGAGCGTCGTACACAAGTTATGACACTTGTAGTGTTCTTTTGCCTACCAATATGTAAACTTCACTAAAATTAAATATGAGTGATGTCTATATTTGTAACTCATCAATCAGAGAGAAATTGCATATAGCTGATGCATGGAGAGGGAGCTTCTAAGGTGTAGACATGTGGCCACCCAACTCACTTTGCTTTTTTGTTTTCTCTGTTTTTTCTTCAATTTAAGATCATGTCATATTTTATGTTGCTTGCTTCCTTTCAAAAATTGCAAATTGGCACAAGAAAAATTATAAACAAGTGGAAAATGAGGCCCCAAAATTAAATGCCGAGTTCACGTAACTCAACTTACTCCCAAACATAAATTACTAAGTTATATCTAATGAGACATAATAGTCACTTCATTCTTTGCAGTTAATTATATCGAGGTTTTACTTCAGCAATAAATCCAATCAATATTGTAATTTCTTTATATCAACTTGAGATACTATTTCGTGAGAGAAGAGAGATATTAAATTGAAAAATTTAAGGCGAGGTTTGCGAGAGGAAGAGATATTTTCAAAAGGAAATGATCCTGCGGATGCTGAGTGCTAGCAAATGTGATTGATCGAATCAGTCAATAAAAACACAAATAATGAAGATTTGAAATCCCAAGGAAGATACCGCTTCCAAGATCTCTGAGTTGATCGTGCATCCAAAACGTATTTTCCACAATCTTTACCAATGACATGCTAATGAGGACATCAACTCCAATATCCGGGAAAAAATCACAGTCCTTCCACATGTAAATTGCGTACATCGTATGCTTACCAATGAAAAAGCATGCAATATCAAGGAAAATTTGTTGTTGCTCGTAACTTAAGGAATCATAGCTGATCTTCAACTTTCCAAAAACATCCTCGTGAGGTGCTTTGCTTAACTTCTCCAATGTCTCTTTCCATATTTGTTGCCTTTTGTCAAAGAGGAACAAACCAATTACTTCAAGAGCAAATGGAAGTTTCCCAGCAGCAGATACGATTTCTCTTGAAAGATCATTGTAATAATCTGATGGAGAGTCTTTGTTAAATGCATGCTTACTAAAAAGTTCAAGCGCACGATCACTACTCATCACCTCCATTTCATATTGTAAGACTTGATAGTTTGGTCTATTGATTCGCAAAGCATCTTTATTTCTAGTTGTAATCAATATTCTAGATCCTGAATACAAAGTACTCCCTCCAACTAATTTCTCCACTTGTTCGCTGTTAGCAACATCAAGCACAATGAGGACTCTTTTATTGCTAAGTGCTTCTCCAGTCCTCTTCATTCCATAATCAATTTCGTCAATGCTCCTTGTTCCTACAGGATAGCCAATTTCGAGTAATAACTATTTTTGCAACTCAACTAAGCCATCAGTTCTTGATGACTTCACTCGAACATCTTCAAGGAAACAACAACACTTTCCAAAATGAGAAGAGAGTTGGTTGAAGACAACTTTGGCGAGAGTCGTTTTACCGATACCCCCCATGCCATGAATTCCAATGAGCTGCACACCGCCAGAGTCGACGTCTAATAGTTCGGTTACTGCTACAACTCGATCATCAATTCCAACTAAATGTTCCGTCACCGATCTATGTTTTGTCTTCAGCTTTGCCACGACCACCTCAACTACCAATTTGATCACATCGCTGTGGCTGCCACAATGGAAAACCACTTTAGTGAGGGAAAAATGCGAAATCACCCAGCTAGAAATGATGTTATTCAAGCACCAGATAAGCTACAGAATAATCGGACAACTAATTGGACCTTAACAATCCGGAAGTTGTCTCCTAAGAGTGCATATTGGACATTAACGTCACTCCGAAACATTTTTTTTAGGCACTTGGCAATGCGTGCGCCATGTCATGACTAGAAACTTGACTTGATTCCAACATGAGATTAGCAATCTTGGGATTATGTTAATGACGTTTGCGCAAAATAGATGTATAAATATTCATGCAGTTGAAATTGATATTTTATGATTTATGTTCGAGCGAACAATGTGTATTCAAAAGGAGAAATGTTCAACGTGTTGCAGGATCAAATAATTATATAGGAATGTGCATGGCATGTCATTAACCCATTCTTTTCCCTTCCAATGCCCGCAATCAAATATTAGTTAAGCTACCTAGCTGTTATATCATTATTCGCCCATTATATAAGATGACCTTGTTAAGCAGTTTCACATTTTTTAACTAATGTAGCGTAGGTTTGTTCATTTGGCACTTAAGTGATTCGGCAAAAACTTTTGGCACTAAAGTGAGTACGTACATAACTTTTAACACTTCTAGTGTTCCTCTCCCATATATACACATAAGCCACGGACAAAAAGGGAGGAGAGAGGAGGAGGAAAAAAAAAAGGAGGGGACTTCCACTTTCATTTCTTTTTGCTGCGAAAAGTCTAAAAAAGGTAGGATTCTCCTCATCTTGATGTTCTCGAGGAAGGATAGATGAATCAGGACCGGTCGAGTTTGAAATCGAGCATTTCAAGGACCTCTATTTCACTTCGTTGTGTTCATGCTTACCTTATTATCAGTGTCTTTACTGGTGTGTTTGTTTAATCTCCAATAAAAGGTAGGAATAACCTTTAGTTTTTATCTATATGCGTTTAGTAGCTCCTCCGTTCGTTTTTACGCTCCTCAATTCATTGTTTACTGTTATCCGTTCACTGGTTCACTTCGGAGACTTGCTGGTCATGATGTATTGGGTTTCAAATATGGAGATTCTAATTTTATTTCTATGTTAATTTGATCATCCATGGTGATGCGTAACTTGTGTGTGAAGTCCACGACGATTTAATATTGTTTTGGCATGCTTATGTGACGCATGGTGATGTTGATCCTTGCTATCCGCGCTCATTCCTTGCTCAAACCATCAATGTTTGACTGCATTTACATATTTTTTTTTTTGTAACTTGAACATGTAGATTCATGTAGGAGAGTGTCGTAATGGTACCTGTGCTCATTTCTCGTCAAAACCGTTACATTTCGAGATTGTAAATATGTTGTATATGATGGAGAGGCTTGTCGTCCATATTTGACTTTTGATCTTGATGAGCAATATTCAGCTTGGTTCGCATGTCATCTAGGAACAAACCGCAATTAATCCGTGATAATTCCTCATCCAGTCCTTGCATGTACGTGTCCTATATTCGCCGGATATGGATGAGTAACGTGAGGTCCGGGTTCAATGGGAACTGAGTTGAAGGTTGTTTGGTATCATCTACTCATCATTTGGGTCATTCATGTAGAAAAGCATCACATTGAATCCATGTTCACCTCTCATTAAATTGATGAATCTTCATGCTGTGGTCATCCTGCTTTTAGTTTTTATTGTCACGATTCCGGTCCCGTTCAAGCATTATTTTGGTTAGGAATTAAAGGTGCGTTTGTTTCGCGAAAAACTCAATAATAAAGGAAAACAATTTTCTGGAAAGCATTTTCAAGGAAAACGACGTTTGGTAATATGGAATCGAAATCATTTTCTGATCTTTGGATTTTATTGGAAAATGATTTCAATCTCATGACTTTATCTCAGACGAAAAAAAAAATCGATTCTTTTAATTATTTTTAATTTCTTTTAATAAATTCGAATTTTTAATTATTTTTTTCTTCTCTTTCCTTTTCTTTTTCCTTTTATTTCCTTTTCTTTCTCCTCCTTCCTCCGCCGCGACCAACCGGCAACACCCCAATGACAGCCCTAGGCAAGCTCGAGCTCGCCGGAGGCCGGCGAGTCGCAAGCTCGCTAGGATCGGCAGAGCTCGGGCTCACCTGATCTGGCGAGCCGTGAGCTTGCCAGCCTCGGCTGAGCCCTAGCTCACCCGAATTTGCCGAGCCTCGAGCTCAGAAAGTGTTTTCGGTTGACCAAATCATTTTCGGACAACCAAACGGTTGAAAATCCGGAAAACACTTTCCCAAAAAACAATTTTATCAAAACAAACGCACCCTAATGTGTAAATGAATCCCTAGCCATGGCTCGCATGCTTTTGTGTCACATGAGTGCCTAACCATGTTCTCCCAGGATAGAAAGGAAAAAAAAGTTAATAAATAGAAAAAGCAAAAGATTTAGCATCATTCGTAGTAGGGCCGCATTTAATGCGGTTCAAGTTCATGCTCAGTTTACTATGTAGTTTGCATGTTTAGTTTGGCACTGATATTGATCCATCTTATTTACATTATGAATGAAAAATAATAAAAATAAATAAATGAATAAGGGATTTATATTTAGCGTGAAACCATGCTCTTAGGCACGTACATTTCATGATTAGTGATATCTCCTGTTAGAATTGCATTTGATGTTAATTTAGAAAATACAATAAAAAAAGAAGAAAAGATTAGTGGTCTTTTGTATTAGCGAATTGCATGTGTGTGGTTGGATTACTCGACCATTTTATCCTTTTCCTTTTATTATTATATTTTTGTTTTCCTTATCTTGTTATTTATTTCATCTTGAAAAAAAACCTATCTAAAATTCAAAATCATAAAATGCAATTTCCTAAAATATATCAACCCCAGCTAAATGAAAATCAACTAAATCTTAACCTAAGATCTAACTACCTAATTTGAGGCCTGCATTTCCCTATCTTTTTCATGAATCTTTTTTATTTTCGTATTTTCTCATTTTTTTACTTTTATTTGCTACTTTTCCGTGTCCTTTCTCGGTCCATCGTTAATCCAGACGAGACGAGCCACTTCCTCCTTCATCAATCTGCCCCCATTCCATCTTTGCTTTCCGTTGATTTCACGAGCAAAAGCTCCAGTTGGCCGAGAGTGTCGACTTCCGGCAAATCCACTCTCGGACCGCCATAGATACACACAACAAAGTATACAGAACACGGTAAATTGGCGTGCACCATCATTATCGGCCATCACCAGAATTCATTCTTTCACACGAAAGACATAACTCCTCACCTCAAACAACTCCTAATGAACGCGTCAGCAGCAATCAACATGTACTTATAATTTTAGTACATCAACACTTCCAGCTCATTCGCAGAATGGAGATTATTACATGAAGCATTCAAAACGTATCAAGGCCGAGGTCATCGGAAATGACTCAAAGGTTAACATCAATAAGGTTTATGCAACCTATACAACCAGTGCATTGACTCATTCAAGCAGACAAGATGAACTCACTCAGATTCGAAGCTATATTCATACTGATGCGATGGAGGCATTTCATCAAACATGTGGTGATCAGTTCAGACAAGAGATCTAACTGCAACATCGAAGCATCTATTCCAATCCAAGCTATCACAACAGCATCAAAATGAGCTCAGATGATTAGCAAATCGTTAATAAGAGACGATTTCACGCAAATCTCTATTAGACTTCTCGGCCTTTTTTTTCCTCCAAGAATAGCTGAGAGCAGAGCATTTGAAGGTAGGTGCGATTACCGGTCACGAAGTGTGATTGGACTAGAAATAAGAAGTCCTGGAAGTGTCGCCAGTGACGATGCCGGCAAAGGAGCTTCGAACGGACCCATAGTGCTTCAGACTTCTCAGCCGAAAACAGAGTGAAATAGAGTATTGGCGGTGTGACTTTGAAACTTCGAAATGGTGTACTGGCGATGGCGACGGTGCTTATTCATGACCGGTGTCGGCGAGAGAAATGAATTGATTAGAAGAATCCCGATAGAGAGGATTTTTCCAGCATCCAGCATGTGTTCTCTGTGAATGGTTCTCGGTTCTGTAAATCTGTAACTCCGGTTGCCAGTGATGGAAACAAAGTGAAACGAGTAAATGCTCGTGATCGCAGGTGGCGGATTCCGGCACTGATCATTGGCCGGGAATGAGAGTTGGTGCCCCGATGCAGAAGTTTTCAGGATTAGACTCCTTAAGTCCGTTGATCCTGCTTTCAAAACATGCCAAACTCCCCTTGCATGCTAACATGTGACATGAGCTGTCCTCATAACCTCACAGGCTTCCAAAACACGTACAAGTCCGATGACAGCGTGAATCCTGAAAAAAATCACAAGCAATATGGAGAAAAAATTGAGAAAGGAATGACATGTTAAAATTAGACAGTCAAGTTAATCAATAAGTAGTATCAACTAATGTTACACTATATAGTGAGATAGAAAGATATTCGATTCCTAGAAAGGATAAACTAACGAAAGTAAAGATACATTCATTGTGCAAGTTGTGGTTGAAGTACAAAACATAATCTACATCAAAGAAGAGAAACAATATCATATTGGATAGTGTATGAACTCCACGGAGCGTACTTAAAGATTAAGGAACAAATTAGCGCATGCGGATTATGCATGACACGAGTTGAATCTCTCATACTCCCAAATGCAGGCAATTCATGTCCAACAGCCAACCGGGTTTCGATTCAAATCCTACTTGATCCATGATGTTAATGCCCAGCATTAAGTACGTAAGATATAAACTTCTTGCCATATACAATAAGACAAACAATATCATATTAGCAGAAAAAGGCTAGACCTAGAAAACAATATCATGTTGCCATATACAGACAAATTGAAGGCAATGCAACACATATTACAATAGTTATGCACCCGTCAGATCCATTCTCTAAGAAATAAAGAAGATCAAAGATCGATACTGACCCCGTCAAGACACATTTTTTGCAGGAAAATACAAAATCAAAGTGCATATCGTCCTCTAGAACGATAATAAAAACTGTTGCCAAGATGTAGCTAGAAATGAATAGATGAATTTCCAGAAGATAAGCTGCAAGCCAAGAAGTTTCTTATGGAGTTAAATGGAATTTTAATGTCTCTTTGCATAAGTCCTATGTTTCATAACTTCACTCGAGCGAAAGTTGCCATCAAAATAAATTTAGCAAAAGATTCTAGTTCACATACGACTGTAAATAAATTTTGTTACAGAAAAGCCCAATGTTTACGAATTTGTAGTAAGTCATCGATTCTTTTTAGTGTATCTTCACTTAAAAATCATAAATATCACCAATCTTATCTCAATAATGGGTACTTTAAGTAAGAACTCGATATTAAAATGGATAAAAAAAGATAAAAATAAATAAAATAAAAGAAGCTGAACAATGACATCTCTTCTAGATAATGAAGTTCTAGCAATTACTCGAGATATGGCAACCACAATGGCATGCCAGAAGGAACTCCGCTTCCGTCTTGCCCATTCGTCTATATATCGCAAATTAGCCTTTGGACTAATCTACATAGAAAGGTAGACCTTTGTGTCAAGAGCATCGATTTTCCCCGAAAACAAACCCATTTCCCTGCGCTTTAAGTTAGGTTGTTAATTTCTTTAAAACGATAGTAGATTTGAAACGATGATAAATTATACAAATAAAAATTGGCAAATTAGTAAAAAAATTCCAATTTACATACTATAAAAAAATTTCGTAATCTTGTCAAAGTATTGATAAGATATCAACAAGTTACTTAAAAATAAAAAGTCACTATGTCTCTTTTTTACCAACAGTTATGACCAACGCATGTTTGTTTTCCACTTTCCGCAATTTTCAGTATATAATCTACCTCAGAAATTGAGTTCATTTTTGTCAATGGCCTTTCAAATCGTTCCAGTTAGGTCCAATAAGGTACCAAATCTCTCTTTCCTGTCCATCATGTTAGAATAAGTTATTAGAGGAAGAGCGACCGCATGTATATGAGGCATATCTGAACTTTGTAGACAAGCGTTATAGGATTATATTAACACATCAAATATTTATTACGTAATATGTGATAGGAGTAACAAAGCAGGGGGAGAATTAGGCGAGCGTTGCCATCCATCAATAAAAAAAAGGGGAGAAGGAAAAAATAAACAAAGAAAGAAGAAGGTTCAAACTGACCTTCTTATTCTTGTAAGATTGGACGGAGCCAGAGAATCTTTTCTTCCCGCCGTGGTAGATGCCCACGCGGCAATCATTTGGCAATTTGGTGGTTGATACATCAATCAACCTTTCTAATGAGGGGCAGCTATTATAGATGTGTAACCTGATCAAAAACTCTAACTCGTCAAGGCCCTCGACAACCTGTAGCCCAGGGCAGTACGTGATGTCTAAAGACTTGAGCTTCTTTAAGTGTGATAAACCACGAACACTTTGCAAATAATGACAATCCCAGACCATAAAATGTTCCCACAATTCCGATGTACCGTGTACTTGAATTTGGAGTATCTTTGGGCAACTCAAAAGCGTGAACCGTCTCAACTTATTTAATACTCTCGACAGGAGAATTAGTCTCCCTTCCCCAATAATCAACTCATTAGCAAACTCTACTTCACCCGCATACACTAACCTTCCGAAGGACTCGCACTGCTTAATATAAAATTCCACCAACGATTCGAACACCCCGGCAAATTGGATCTCAACTAGCATTGGGCAATTTTCTACCAGGACGGTTTTGAGCTTCCTCATGTTTGACAGCCCGAATCTCTCGAGGGATTCACCGCCTTCCAAAACCAACTCTCTTAAATTTTGAAGCCTGTCGAGTTGAATTTCTTGCACTTGAGAAGACCAGAGCTTTAAGCTTGACAAATTCTCTAATTTGGATGAGAGTGACACAGTTGAATTGAAGTTATCGAGTCTTAAATTTAACGGAGACGATGGAAGTTGCGCAAGTGTTCGCAGGTCCAAACCAGACAAATGAAGTTCCTTCAACTGAGAAAGGGAAGCCAACTCAAAAGAAGCAGGGACACCAAGAAGTTTCAAGTCCAACTTATTCAGTTTGGATAACATCCCAATCCCTCCTAAGTCACCGGTACAAATTTTACCTCCTTGTCTCTGACGATAGCCATCAGATAGGTCCAACATAACCAAATTAGTAAGATTCGAGAGGTCTGGGACTACTCGCAATGATTTAGATGACACTTGCAGATTGTTTAAACTTGTGGGAAGTGTCGGCAGTTCTTGAATCTGATCACAATCTATTAACTCAAGCATTTGCAGGCACGGAAGCGTACTAATTGTCTCTGGAACTTCAATGATGCCAGTGCACGACAAGCAGAGGATTCTTAGAAAGGGCAAACTTCCAATTGCCGAAGGAAGTCGACCTTTCAAATTGGGACTACGAAGTCGAAGCACTGTTAGATTCTGAAGCATTATAGCACTAGGTAACTCCCATGAATTTGCTGAACCTGGCCTATAAACGCCATTGTCAAAGTGCAACTCACGTAATGATTTCAACTTCCATATGGAATCTGGGAGTTTCTTCACTGGACATTCCGTGACCGAGAAGTGCTTAAGATTCACTAGGTTCCCGATTTCTTTAGGCAAATTTTCAAGAGAAGAGCAATCACTAATCTTCAAATCAATAAGAGACCCCAACTTTCCAATAGAGCCACCAATTTTCCTCAATTTGGAACAATTTTTGAAATTAAGCCTCTCTAAATTTGAACATCCAGAGAAGTCTAGCATTCTGTTTATGCTGGGACATGTTTCAAGAGAAAGAACTTTCAATTTTCCTGCCATCTGTCAAAATAAATGCAATATTCAATTGATTAACATTCAAATATTACTTTCAAAGAAAATAAAATAGAAATAAGCACATTACAGACCTTGATTAAGCTCTGTAGTTTTGATACATCTACGAAGTGATTGTCTGAAAATTCAAGAATGACCACATTCTTTAAGCGCATATTGGTTGGCTTAAAAGACACTCGAGTAGTTTTAGACCAAACAATCCACCTTAAATTGGTAAGACTATTCGCCAAGTTACCGTTGAAAGTTCCCCGAAGTAATTTGAGGTACCTTAGATTTTCAAACCTTTCAATCTCTTCACTTCTGATAACGACCTTTTCATAAGTCTCAAGATTTAGTGCTCTAATGTTCCCCTTCATCTGCAAATGAGAAAAAAAAAAGAGTGATATTCAGTTCTATTTTAGAGAAAAAGGATTACAATGTCAAAAAGAAGAAAGAGAAAAGAACATCGCAGTGCAGCGTGTAGAGGATATTCTAGTAGAGAAACCATTAGTTTCCACCCTAGGTATCTTACCTCCTTTGATCTTATTGCATGGAAGGCCTCCTCTTTAATCCAAATCCTACTCCGCTCTCCAGGATTCTCTGGACTTTCTCGATGAACAATTTCCCTACCAAGATCTCTGAGTTGATCGTGCATCCAAAACATATCTTTCACAATCTTTACCAATGACATGTTAATGAGGACATCAACTCCAATATCCGGGAAAAAATCACAATCTTTCCACATGTAAATTGGATACATTGTATGCTCACCAATAAAAAAGCATGCAATATCGAGGAAAATTTGTTGTTGCTCGTAACTTAAGGCATCATAGCTAATCTTCAACTTTTCAAAAACATCCTCGTGAGGTGCTTTGCTTAACTTCTCTAATGTCTCTTTCCATATTTGTTCCCTTTTGTCAAAGAGGAACGAACCAATTACTTCAAGAGCCAACGGAAGTCTCCCTGTAGCATATACGATTTTCCTCGAAAGATCCTTGTAATCATCTGACGGAGAGTTTCTGTTAAATGCATGCCTACTGAAAAGCTCAAGCGCACGATCACTACTCATCACCTTCATTTCATATTTTAAGATTTGATAATTTGGTCTATTGACTCGCAAAACATCTTTATTTCTAGTTGTAATCAATATTCTAGATCCTGAATACAAAGTACTCCCTCCAACTAATTTCTCCACTTGTTCGTTGTTAGCAACATCATCAAGTACAATGAGAACTTTCTTATTGCTAAGTGTTTCTCCAGTCCTCTTTGTTCCATAATCAATTTCATCAATGCCCCTTGTTCCGCCGGGATGGCCAATTTCGGACACTAACTTTTTTTGCAACTCAACTAAGCCATCAATTCTTGATGACTTCGCTCGAACATCTTCAAGGAAACAACAATACTTTCCAAAATGAGAAGAGAGTTGGTTAAAGACGACCTTAGCGAGAGTCGTTTTACCGATACCCCCCATGCCATGAATTCCAATGAGCCGCACATCGTCAGAGTCGATGTCTAACAATTCGGTAATTGCCACAACTCGATCATCAATTCCGACTAAATGTTCAGTCACCGATCTATGTTTTGTCTTTAGCTTTTCCACGACCACCTCAACTACCAATTTAACCACATCGCTGTAGCTGGCACAATGGAAAATCATTTTAGTGAGGAAAAAATGTAAAATCACGATTACCTGGCTTGAAATGATGTTATCCAAGCACCAGATAAGCTACAAAATATTCAGACAACTAATTGGACCTTCAATCTAAAAGTGATCTTTTAAGAGTCCATATTGGACATCAACGTCACACCAAAACATACTTTTAATGCACTTGGCAATGCGTGTGCCATGTCATTACCTGAAATATGACTTCATTCCAACATGAGATTAGCCATCTTCGAATTACATTAATAACATTTGGGAAAAATTGATGTATCAATATTTATGTAGTTGAAATTGATATTTTATGATTTATGTTCGAGCAACAACTATAGAAGTTGGACAAGGTGCATTCAAGAGAAGAAATGTTTAACGTATTGAAAGATTAAATAATTAAATAGGAATGTGCACGGCATTTCATTATCCCATTTTCCTCCCACTGCCCACAATCAAATATTAGTTTAGCTACCTAGCTATTATTATCATTATTCGCCCACTGTATAAGATGACCTTGCTAAGCAGTTTCACGTTTATTGACTAATGTAGCATAGGTATGTTCATTTAGTCATACTATAGTAGAAGTCCCACCTCAATCATACCGGAATTCTTTACATCTATGATCCAGTGTTAAGGAAAATTGGGGAAATAAACATTTGAAAAGCTGCTAGCTTACCCTTTGTACTTCTTCACTTCCCACCCCTTTATCGCATCAACCACCATGAGAGCCTCTTTCCACGCATCTACTAGCTTGGTGCTCAATTTCTTCTCACGCTCCAAATTAAGTATGGCATCGCGATACAGCGGAGTTTTCAGCTTAACATCGTTAGGTTCCACATCGAAAAAAATAGGTAGGATCTCTTTTTTACCTTCCGATTTGGAAGTGTTCACCACGATCTGTGCTAGCTCGCGGAGGCACCATTGGCTCGAAGCGTAGGTCTGAGAGAAGACGGGTATGTAAATCCTAGAGTTGTCGATCGCTCGCTGAAGCGATCCATCGATTCTTTCACCGACACGGGCCTCTTCATCATCTCGGAAGACGCATATTCCAGCATCAGTCAAGCTGTGGAAGAGGACGTCAGTGAATCCAGCGCGAGTGTCAGGTCCTCTGAAGCTTAAGAACACTTGGTACTCGCTTCCCGATGACGTTCCTGCATCTGAGCTCGCCATAGCGTTAGTTTGCTCCGCTTAGCAGATCTCTCTCTCTCCCCGTGTGTGTGGGTGTGTCTGGGCTGCGCCTGAAGAAGGGATGTGATCCTTCATTAGGCCTTTGCCATTACTGAAACTCACCCGATGTTTTCAATGGAGAATGTGGCCGCGTCAACATCAAGTGCCTAAAGAAATTATGTAATGAACACTGATATTCTTTAATTCCCCAGTGTGTAAAGAATCGACTTTTTCCTACTCTTAGTACTTTAGCTAGCATGGACTATATACGAATTAGAGAGAATAAAATTGGGATAAATATGAACAACAATTAAGGTATTGGAATGAAAATAATTATTTGAGTCACCATGTGAGGTACTACTCCCAGCACAGCCACTCATTCATCCTGTGCATCAAAATGAAAGGAAAGTAATTATGGAAAGCGAGGAATGACTATGTTTTTCGGACGCTTCCCCCAAATCCGGAAACTCTAATCGGCTCGGCAAGAACGGCAATCAGAAATTCCAGCAAAGGGAACAATCAAAGTTCGAAACTTTACTCAGAAACAAGTCGATCGACGCAAAATTGGACCCCACCTAAGGCACTCACCTTGAAAGTCAACGCTGATGGAGCTTATGACGGGAAGGTGCCGCCATCGCAGGGGTTATCCGAGATTGCTACAGGGACCTTCGTCGACGGCTTCGTCAAGATTGTTGCAGCCTCATCAGCGATTCAGACGGAGGCGTTGGCCATGGTCGAAGCCTTGAAAGCTGCTTCGGGTCTCAGGAAAGAGATGAGTTTGCAGCTGGAATCCGACCGTGTTGAACTCGTACAAGCGGTGGTCAAAGGATGATCACGTGCGGTGGGGATATCAGTACCATTGCAGAAGAAGCCAAATGCAGACCAAAAAAAAAAGAAGAAGAAGCCAAATTCTTGATGGGCTCTTTGGAAAATATCACCTTGGCCCATTGTGGTCGGTCAGCGAATCGCGTAACCGATTGGCTACCTAAGGCCTGTAGACTGAATTCCCTACCCTCCTTTTGGATGGCCCGGCCCCCTCAACCCCTTTAAGATTTACTTTATTTGAATGCCTCGTCATTGAGTATTTTGCAACTCACATTAAACTTAAATTCACCCCAATGAGCCATCTGTCACCATCCCCATTTTGCAAAAAAGTGTTTTTGATATACATTTTCGAAGCAAAAGTACATAACTATTTTCAATCTCGTCAAAGTTAACATATTATTTAAAAAAACTATTAAAGTCATATCTGAAAGAGTGAAACTCAAAAAATGTCAAAGTATTTGAGCCAAAAGATTTTAAAAAAGAAAAATGTAAAAAGTAAATTCTAAAAGTCAATCCGAAAGCATATGAATATTCAGAAAAATTAGTGTTACAAATTTAGATATTTAATCACGCATTCTTCTTAAAAGAGTTGGTAAATTTAAAAAGTCGGCAAGTAAGATCTGAAAGTAGTAACTTAATTAGAAAGTTGGTAAATATTCAAAAAACGCAAATGAACATTGATGATAAGCGCTCAAATGAGAGTTGGTAACCCAAAATTAATTGGAAACTTGATCGGAGGAAAATGATTAGTCACTAAATTGAAGGTTGGTAATTTCAGATATTAGTTGGTAAATCTAAGGCATTGGTAAGAATGGTAAATAAATTGTAAAGATAATAATTATTATAGTGACTTATGGACCTTGTCTGATTGATTTACCAACTAGTTTTTGATTTCCACTCTCATTTGACTTAATTGCCAACATAATATAATTTATATCAAATTATCAAATTTGAATTATCATTTATCAACTTTTGTTTGTCTCCCTTGCAAATGCATATCTACATTTATATGATTTTACCAACCTTTACTTTTGTGAGTTGTCAGTTGTTTACCAATTAAATTACCAGCTAGGTCTGATTTACCATGTCTCATTTGAAGTGCTTGCTAATGTTAATTTTTTTTTAATTATCAACCTCTTCTAATGAGTTACCAAATTTTATTTGCCTGCCTTACCTAATGGTTAAATTATCAATTCTTTTTTTAAAAAATTATCAACCTTAATGGGAGTGATTATCAAATTTATTTGATTAAATTATCGACAATTTTTGTGTTACCCACTCTTATTTGAGTTAGTTACCAACAATTATCTATTCTTTTTTTTAAATTGCCAATTTCTCTCATCTCCTGACAAAAAAAAATTCT